GGTTTATGCGGTCTCTGCAGGATAAACAAATCTTTCTTCTTCTATCGTTGTGTCGGCCATCCACATTTACACCGCAAAAACGCATTTCCTTGGTGGTCGCCACTCTGAGATTTGAGCTATCGTCCACGTGTCCCCATACAGCGTGTTGCGGACAGCAACACGAAGGTCTTGCAGGCATTTTAGGCGTTAAATAACGCGTGAAAAGATTCCAAATTGAAAGAAATTCTCAGCTTTTAACAGATACTCTACTTTATGCAAGATAATTTTTGCAGACGGCCGAGAAAAAGACAAGCAAACACTGCTAACAATCTCCGAAAATCTCACATCCAAGATGGCGGCTATAGAGCGTTGAAGATACGTTGAAGATGGCAACGAAACTCGTCATATACGGTTCAGAGGACTCTGGTACCGAAAATATCGCAAAAAATGTGGGAAAAATTAATTTTTTGGTCGAATTTTGACGATTTTTGAGTATTTGACCAATCAGAGAGCTCCATTTTAATTAAGTTAATAATTTAATATTTGGTATCCAGGGGCGCGTCATGCATTTGATCGGCCTAGTTCTTGGATGGAGCGTTACTTAAGTGTTACGAGACAACGTGCAAAACAGACAGACGAAAACGTAAACGGACTAAAATGGCAACATCACTTATCGACAGCGTGTGTCTGTTGTAAAAAATGGTCCAGTTTTCATTATTTCAAAGGAGATCCACAAGTTCTGGAGTAAAGGAGCCAAGGGACTTCATTCAGTTCAAACAGTCATTTTTGCGGGTGTTAAGATTTGAAACCTAATCTTGCAAGCTGACATGTCTGCCTTCTCAAAATCAACTGCACAAGTGTTTGTAATTTAGCGACCGTAGAATGTATTGAAGACCCTTTGCTCTAAGTTAGTTCGGAGGAATGTCGACAGTTGCACCATACACCACTGAACTGATCATGTCTGATTAATACCTGATTTATTCAAGCAAGTGCAGTTTTAAAGGACAATGGTAAAGGAAGTTTGTCACGCTGAAGTATTAGAAAAAATATGATATCAAATTACACTTAGAGGTCGTGCGTGGTCACTGAAAACCTATGGCGCGCCGTTAGCACGTGAGTCTTCCAGTGAGTCCTTCTTTCGTAGGATTTTATACCGAAGCTTCTCCTTTTCCAAGGTAAGCAAGTCTTCCGCAATGGCAACGAAGTACAGCAAGTACAAGGTTCAAAAAGTGCAGATTCTGGAATCGATCAGCCATGAACAAGATGTTATCTCCTCTCTCATGACTTATTATTATATTTCACATGCTCTTCCGTCTCATTGGAGGACGGGCAGAATATTCCGAAGCAAAGCGACATTAAGAAATCGAGTGTTGAAACATATGACAAAAAATAAGTGTTTGACTTATTTTTGAAAGAGGCTAACAATATGGTACTCTTTGCATACAGCCAACATACCCATCAGGTAAACGAAGAAGAGTGTTTTTCTTTTTCTTGTAGTGTGATGTTTTAAATAAATTTATGCTTTATGTTGTTGTGGTAGGGTCTGCGAAAAGGAAAGACACTGAACGCGCTAGAAGTTTCTCGTCATGCATACGTTTTTTTTCTAGAGATGAATAACACCAAAGGCACGGAAGAAAAATAAACATGATATGATGCTTTTGTGTTAAACCAGTCCATTGGCGGTTAAGCTCAATCTTAGTTCTACTCAGTTGATAACACAAGTCTTGTTTGTGAGTAATATTTAGTGGTTGAAAGGAGGAACATTTCGAGTTTTATCAAAGGTTTGACTTTGAAATCCTCCATGTGTGTTAAATAACCCTATGATTTAAAAAATAGTAATGAAAGAAAGGGCATGTGTTCTAAAGATTACAGCATGTTCGTTTTATGTTATTTTTGGATATTTCCATGTATCATATAATGCAAAACCTGGGTAACGTCACCACGTTGTTTACAAGTGTGAAGTGATATCGATCAATATAACCATTCTCATTGGTTAATGCACGGAACGTTCTGCTGCAGACCCGTATCATGTTACTTTCAGGATTGGACTATGTGCAGAATATTCCAAAAAAACGTGATAACATTTGAAAGTACAGATTTAAATGGAGATCTGTTTTAGGAAAAAGAGACGGCAAAAGGTTAATCAGTAAGTTCCCTATGCATTTTATATGGAAGATTTGTTTTTTTCTTCTGCTGAACATTATAGGAAACAATTTTATAAAGAAATTAAACAACATACGTACCATTCACTCCAATGATTTCACTTCCACATTAAGGCCGGCAAAATCCATCATGACCTTGCTGCCTTTGCTTACGTTGTAGCCGTTAATTACTTTAGAACTATTCTTAAGTGGTACAACACTAATTGTACGATCACTCTTGAAATGAAATAATCTATACTTGAGAACTTTAAGGGCTGCTCTTTAAGACATTTTGAGTACTGTCTCTGCTCTGCAATATTAACTTATCTGCAAGTGAATCAATTCTTTTACACTGTTCGTCGGATCAAGTTGTCCACGCGAAAGCCGATGGCATCACTTCTTATTATTTATTGTTAGATAGTCAGCACCAATCAAGAATGAGTTGCTCGTGTCCTTTGTCTGTTAACCAATTTACATTCTAATTGCTGGCGTTCTGTTACTATAAGGAAGTATCTGAAACTGAGAGTGTTAGAAGAAATCCCTGAGAAATCTGAAGACAGTATCCACTCCGCAATTACAGTATGGGGCAAACACCAGTTTACGTTAAGTTATGAATTGTTGCGCTGTTGCCAAAAGTAAATAATTACTGTGTGATAGTAGGCCATCTTCAAGAAGAAGGCGTCAAGATTAGGCGACACCCTGTGGTGCGAATTTTGAAGCAATACAGGGACAGTGGATCTCTTGCTGGCAAGACAGCACCAGGTCACAAGCCCCTCGTTCCATGGAGCTGTCGAATTTTATCGATGCAAAAATGGAGGAAAACTATGAAATTCTTGGTAATGTGTTGTTTCCTTACACGCAGGCCGCTTATCCAGATGGTGGGTATCGTTTCCAGCAGGATAATGATTCCAAACATAAAAGTAAGTTTACCTGAAATATTGTGCAACTTGCAACGAAACAATGACCATAATCAAACAAGTTCATGAAAAAATTCAGTCGGAAATGACACAAATAACAAATAACATAATTCAAGGTTTTATTTTGAGCCTGGTCTTAACATTGCCATTCGTTCTTGTTTTGTTTGGTAGGTAATTTGGCAATGAAGTTCATTCAAGACAATATAAACTACTGGCCCACTCCAGCAGAAAGCCTGGACATGAATTCGATCGAGACTGTAAACTATGAGGTTGTGATCATTTGACGTTTTAAATCTATATGTATTTCACTTCTCAAAAAAGCACCTGATCATTGGTCTCTTGTAATTCTCATTGCACGATCAGTTTCATGTCCGTTGTTATCTCAGAATCGTGTTTTTACCATCGTTTCTACTAGTGAAGTTGTTTCAACGCCATGGAGAAGTCTGAACTTGAATCAATTCAAGAAGCACGTCAAAAGTTGTGACTGCCTTTCAAGTGGTGTGTCAAATTACTTGACATGTGTCAGGTATAACATTCCATTCATGCAAATTACAATCTGTGTTGTCCTGGTATGTGTTTACTGCTCAGATTTCTTATGTTCCAAGTACGCTTCACATTTGTCAAAATTTATATCGTACGTCAGCTTTCAGCTTCGTCAATCAAAAAAGTATCACACTTTTCGACTAAATTCGATTGGTTCGATAATCAAACTCACAAAATTGTAGTTTGATGATGTTCGACTTCTGAACTCAGTCAAACTGATTCAGTTTGATACATCACGTAGCCAAACATTCACTATGGCGAGAACAGTAAGTAAGTAATAACTTTATTTAACCACGGAATCCTTATCACTAAAAAGTGGTCTTGTAAAGAGCCGTGCACATTAAACTAAGACTTAAAAATAACAAACATTATTGAAAAAGTCCTATAATAAATGCTAACTAAGAAAATCTTAATGTACAATAGCGGAATAAAAACAATTTAAAGTAGTGACCTGCTTAGCCTCAGCTGACAGGCTGTTCCATGTTACTGCGCCCCTATAACGAAAACTTTTCTTTAGGGCCTCAGTGTTCGGTTGTGGAATAAACAGGTTATGTTGCGCACCTTGAAGATTATGCCCGTGAATGGTATTAATGCTGGCGAATTTATCAGACAGGTATTCGGGTACAAGGTTATTTACAGTTTTAAACAAAAGAAAGATTTCAGTTGCTTAACACGTCTGTCAGCGAGGCTATCCCATTTAAGGGCGTGAAGAATCGGGGCAGAGCTGGCATCCCAGCTAGACGCTGTAATTATGCGTGCAGCCCTGTTTTGAAGCTTCTCTAGTTTTTGGCTGTGACCATTACCGATACAGCCCCAGACAGCGCTGCAATAATCGAGATGCGGAAGAATCAATGACTTGTAAATAGTGACAAGGGTACTCTGGGGACATATTGGTCTTAGCCTCCTCAGGGCAGCTAGTACTTTTGCAACTTTACCGATGACTTCGGAGATGTGAGCCTCCCACGAGAGTGTTTCATCAACCTGAACGCCTAGGCATTTGTAACTATTGACTCTTTCAATTGAATGCCCGTCGAGGGATATGTGTGGATCGCTAGGGAGCAAAGAGATTTTTTGCCTCGTGCCTGTAAACAGACATTTAGGCTTGAGGACATTAAGACTTAGAGCCTTGTAGACATTGTTAAGCCTAATCTGTTGGCACTCTTGCGACAACAATAAACCAGAAACAATACACCAGCTCATACATACTAATCAGTTCTGATGCAAGCCCGTTTTTGAAACCAGCAATGCTGAAAAACTCAAAATTTCCAGAGCTTAAGAGCGTATCAAGTCAAAGATCAAAGTTATTCACCAGGACTATAGAACTGCCGTCAATAAGGGAACGAGAAGTGTAAGTGCAAAGATAGTGAAGGAACATTTTGATACCTTGTGTGACGTTTGGGGTGGCTCTTCAGCTACAGTAATGCTGGCAGAAGGTGTTGATGGTGATAGTCTGACAGTAACCAGTGACAATGAAGAAACTAACCAAAGGAGTGAAGGTACTGTAATTTACTATAGCAGATAAAAAATAATTGTTGCTAAGTAACAGAAAAAGCAATAACAGCAACAGATTTTTCAATATTCCACCGTTCAAGTTTTATTTGTGTAAGAGCCATCGTGAGAGAAATTAAAAGCTTGAAATTTAAAAGGTGCTGAGGAGGTAAATAAATAAACTGAATTCTTTGAGTTAACCCCACAGCTGAGTTTAGATTTTGTAATTGTGCAATGACTTTTACAATAAGTTAAATAAAGGAGAGTAGAAAAAAGCAATCAGAAAAAACAAACAAACAAAAAGAAATCAGGCCAAAAGTTGACTTTCCTTGCAGAGAGTGAAAGGTTTTGAGTACCGTCACGCAGTTGATTCCCCTTTCATTACAGTGCATGTAAACCACTTTTAATTTGAATTCAAGAATTCATTAGTAAATTTTGTTATTACAGTCAAGGCAGGTCAGGTTATCCCCAAAGAAGCCATTAATAAACTGATTATTTTAAAAATAAATCTGTTAGTCATTGCCGCAGCTAGTACCAAATTTATGTCTGCATTCTTGCATACTTAATGAGTATTCAATTTTTGACTACAACTTTCCTGTATTTGGTCAGATTGAAAAATCTTTCAATGGGTAAAATTGCTATGAACACATTATATCAAAGTCAAGAAAACTGAGCCACCAGAAATTCCATATCGAGGGTAATCGACCTAGCGTGTGAATTCACTGGTCATTACTATGTAGGAATGCGAAGATGAATCTGAAATCTACAACTACTAAGGGATTCAAATTTCAAATAATCCATTCATTAATGGAATCGTGGGGGTACACTTGACCTTCCTTGACTGTAATGGTTTCAACACAGGAGTCATGTCATAAGTATATCCTTTAATTAAGCAAAGATGAGTACTGTGCAGGGTTTTTTTTTGAAATGTCATTCATCAACAACAGTCCTCTATTCAAGACAATACAAGAATCACTTATGACTTGTTATTGTTGTATGATAATTATTATAATGATATTATTATTATTTCTTTGCTGACGAATTTGCTAGAATCATTATTTTTTAATGGAGATCCATTGAATGGTAGATGGTTAGTTCTGTAATATAAGTTGTTTTATGAAGCGCCTTTTAACATAAATTTTCAGAACCAGAATCTATATCTGAGCAAACTGGTTCAACTTCCACATGCAAAGAAACGCAAACAGGAGAACAGAAAAATACCCAAGTGTCTTTGTCAGCAGTTCCTCGGTTAGTGGATAATAAAAGAAAGCAGATGGAGAAGGCACTTTCTCAAGCCAAGCGTGATCAGATTTCAATGAAATTCAGCAAAAGAAGACCTAATCATGAAAAAGCAAATGATTGCCTCACTTGAGAAATCAAACAAGTCTTTACAAAGTACAATGCAAAAAATTACTGACTCATTGTCTGTTATGGCAGAAGGAATTTCTTCTGGGATGAGGATGATTGCTATGGCCATGTCAGGCCAAACTCAGTATCAGTTTCATCCTTCTCACCCAGTAGGTTACAATAGCAATGCTATGATGTATCAAAATAATATGTATGGATGTCCCAGGGGATATAATTCTGTAATTTCACCTGACCATGAAGTTTCAGGTCAAGTGGGAGTAAGGTCATATACTCCAAGCCCCACCCCCTCCGATTCAGCTTCTACAGCAAGTGGTGACAATGGTTATTTTAGGTATACCTGTTGACCTCAGAGAAAAATGACTCACAGCAGAAAGTTCATTTCAGTTTATATTTATCATGACCTCTGTCAATAATTGTAACATGTAAGAACAAAAGCCGTGTTGCTAAGAAAAACATTGTTCAACTTAAGAATCTGAGTCAGTTTAGTTCTCATTGTTAAATATCTTTGATATTGTTTCTTGTTGTACTTTTATTCAATAAAAGGTGTTGTGTTAACCAGAGTGCTGCTTGTAACAAAAAAATCCCTTTTTCAAAAGCGGGTTTGCGAAGGGGCTGAAGGTAGGAAGGGTAGAAAATAATTATTATAATAATAAAATTTTAAATTCTAAATGCAGCCAGTTGCCATTGTTCTCTTGTCATTGGAACCATAATGACAGTGTCAGCGCCAGTAGAGAGAGAGTCGGTCGATCGATGACACGGTTCAGGTAAAGCAACTGCTACTTTAATGCTACTGTAGGCACAACAGCGAAATACAGAACAAACTCAAGAGCGAGACACGAGAGCGTCTAGGGCGCGTGTCCTTATCTACAGTACCGCTGACCGGTACTGGCGTGGCCTCTTTTTCCTTTCTTTACTCTTACAAATATGGTATGAGCCCAATGGTTATAGAAAAATCTAGGTACATGTAAACGGCTAACATGAATAACAATAAAACTTTAACAGTTTCTAGTGTGGGTCACGAGGACCACTGGCTAATTAATCCATATCAAAGTCCTCAAAACGTGCGGGTCGGGCGTCGCTCACGTGTGGATCGGGCGAGGGGGGGTGGCATCTGATTCGCTGTCGCTAGCATAGGGGTCTCTGGTTTCATCAGGGTGGGTCACGGTCACGGTATCGTGAGACTCATCGTGGCTGGTAGGGAAATCATCAAGGTGGGGGAATTCCTGGGTAGAAGGTGTCGAGATCGCGCACGGAATGTTTGGCGGAGGTGGTGGTTCTGGCTGTGTTGGTGGAGTTTCGTCAGATGATGAGTCTGCGTCCCTATTGGGAGCAGGTGGTCTGTGGTTCACGACTTCGGATGGGACTCGATAGCACTCAGACATCTTCACTTGGTAAGACGTGCTGCGGAGTTGGGAGCCAACAAATTTCTTGACGTTGCAGAACGAGCCGGTTATTTCTACGACAAGGTAGCGATCGCGGGCTCTGGTCTTGTTCCGATCGGCATAGAGGTAGACTAAATCACCCACAGCAACGCGGTCAGTGGGGGTGCTCTTTGAGATAGGTGTCTTTGACTTCTCACTGTGGGGGTGGTTAGACAACCGTTGTGTATGTTGTCGTAGGATGATGTCCTGGTCTTGTAGGGGGATCTGCTGGTTTGTGAACTGATCACGTTGGGTCCACATCTCTCTTGCGGAAAGACCACGTGAGCGAAGGCGCGCGTTTAGATTGGCTGTGACCACGGCGAGTTGCACGTGGTTTACTGGACCGCCTAGTGGATCATGGCGGAGTAGTTCGCTTTCGACCTCCTGTACTGCCCGCTCTGCAATATGGTTCTTGTTTCTGTTTTTGGCGTCGCCGATCTCAAGGGTGATCCTGTGGTGTTTCAGTAGTTGATCATCCCTGAGTGCTTTGAATCCTGGGGCTGGGTCGGTACATATGACGGCTGTTGGTCCATCTAGTGGATGTAGTTGGACACAAAGACGGATAAGAGCGTCGCGCAGAGTGTTGTGACGCCCGTCTTCCAGCAGGGTTGTGGCTGTAAACGATGTCACGCACTCACGTAGTACAAGCACAAGTTGTCTTGAGCGTTTGATGACATCTGCGGCAAATGATACGCCAACTGCGTCAGGAGGGGGCAGGACGACTGCTCCACGCGCATTTTCGGAGTTTGGCGAGAGAGGCACAGATGTGGCAAGCTTGGGTCACGCGGTCGATGGCCTTGTGTATGTCTAAGGCATATAGGTACCGGTTGGTTACAGCCTGGAGTTGATGGCTCGACGGATGGGTGAGCTGTATGTGTAGGGCTGTCAGCAGTCCATCAAGCACTTGTCGAGGGACAATGATGCACTCGCTGGCTAGGTACAAGGGGTTCATCACGCCGGACAACGAGCAAGCCATCTTTTGCAATGGTAGCGACGTTCAGGTATCTTTTAACATCTTTTATGTTGGTAAGTTTCTTCAAGGGCATGTCCCTTGTTGTGGGGTGGGCGCGAGTACGCCGCAGATCGGCACATTCGCCTGAATGGCTAACCAGGCAGTGCGGCTGGTGAAGGGTAGGCGCTCATCACCACGCAGTATATCCTGTACCGATGTGTTTCTGACAACGGAGTCTTGGGTGAGTTTTGTGAAGGCGCAGATCTGGCAGGCTTCGCCGTCTTCGCAAGGGGGGTGCGTTGCGGCTGGCGAAATCAGAGGGTAGGATCGCAGATCCGGATACATGTCTGACGGACGCTTGATACCGCTCACAGTTGATAGAAAGGTGGAGACGCGAGGGCTAGCGGAAAACTCCCGCGACAGAGTTTTTCAAATGCCTGTACGCACGGTTTGCTGTCGGTTAGGATGCAGGCCTTGTGAAGGGATTGGATTAGGTACGGGCTGAAGTGCTTGGTGGCAACGGCAATAGCTAGGGCCTCCACCTCACACGGTAACCATGTCAGTTGTGAGCCACGTAGCTTTGTGCTAAAGAACCCTGCCAAATGTAGTTTGTTGTCACGGGTGACGAAAGCGTGGCTCCTATTCCAGGCTTACGGACCGCCCCGGCCGGTCACAATCCACAACTGGTCACTTGGTTTGGGTAGCGAGATGGTGCGAGCAGTGGAGAGGGCTTTCTGGGCATGGAGGAACGAAGTTCGGAGGTCGCCTGACCATTGTATGTGTTCTTTAGATTCGCGGCCAGCTACGGTGTCATCAAGTTGTGCAAGGAGTGACGAGCACCCGGAATTACGGAGAGCACCTTGTAAGCTCCTATGAATGATCGCATGCGCCAACGGTTTCGGGTTCAGGACACGAGGCGAGGGTGGCGCGCGGTGAGGGCTTGCTCTTAAAGTGCCAGCGTTCCAAATCCATCCCAGTATTGTTGTGGACCGAGGATTGATGATCGCCTTCGGCGCGGAGAGGCGGAGGTCACACTTGTGGAGGGCTTCTAGAACCTTCCTCCAGTTTCGTAGGGAGTTCTTGTGGCGTGCTTCCCCCCACAGTATAGATCGCTCTGCGATTTTGGCGACGACGCCTTCTTCTAAAAGGTGACCAAGGACGCGACACATAAGTTCTTCCAGTGCCGTTTCAGAGCCGGGTATGCCCATGGCCGATCGGTGTATACGCCAAGACCCCCGGAATGGGGTAGCTACCCCAGAGTACTTCATGGAGGCACGCGAGAGGGGATTTGGTAAAAAAGCGCTGGTCAAGTCCGATGCGATAATGTGTTTCCACTGGGCGATATGGCGAACGTGGAGTCCACATCTGGCATGAGTGAAGGTTGTGGCTTACTGTAGCGGCCGACATCAGCGAATGCAGTAACTAGGCGGAGCCACCACTGGGTTTTTGACGAGAAATGATGGGTTCAGGTACTCGACCGTGGACGTTTATGTCTTCGGGCGACTGAAGACACCCAAAGCTTCAAGTTAGTCAGATTTCTGCTGGAGCTCCACTAGCTGGTGACGGGCATACTGTGGTAGACGGCCTTTCCGCTGGGGGGGTTCTACAGGTCCCATGTTGACTCTTGCTTTCGAACGGACCTTCCGCACCATTGTAGCCCTTGATGTTTGGGTCGAACACGTGGTCATACTCGCCCAACAGCGGAAGTGAACTTTGCTCTTATATCCCGGGAAGTAAGTTGTCTGGGTCAAGGCGCATGTTGTTTGTGAAAGTGTTTTGTACCTGGGATAGGTACTGATGGTTTGGGAGGTGGCTTGGCTGTTGGGGGTGAGTTGTCGCCGAGGGGTTCTGGTGTGAAGGTGGCGCGCACCTGGCAGAAGTGCCCATTTCGCTTTGAGGAAGTGCGGTTCGGATGAGAGATTGGGAATACGATCTTTCCTGCCACGCTAGAGACTATGCGTGGGGTGGGCCACAGTTGGGAAGCTGACAACTGCCTAACGCTGGGGGCATCTGTTCGAGGCTCTAAGGGCGATTCGAGTCAGTGGGGACGTCGTGTGGTAGGTCGACCTCAACAAACTCTCCAGGCCAGACGGTCATTGACGGGGGGGAGAGCGGAGTACTATTGCACGACGCGGCGGCGGGTTTACTGTAGCCGGGTGTGGGGACCCGAACTGACGATGGAACCGTTCTGGAGGATCACTTGGCGCTTAGCTGGGCGCACTGCAATATCGTTGGTTTCCATAAAGGGGTGCCTGCCAGTATGTCCACGTCGAGGTTCTCAACGACGAGTCCTTCGAAGGTGAAATCTCGGCCTTCGTGGCTTAATAAGAAGCGTGTCTCACCGACGACCTGAAGGGGGGATGAGCCGTCTGCTTGGTGGACGGACTGGGAGCTAGATGTCATGTGGCAGCCAAGACGTTGGACGACAGTGTGGTGGATCATGTTTCCAGTAGCCCCACTATCGATGGTGATTCGAACGGGGTAGTGGGAGTAGAACATGTCTAGGTACGGTGACTGGCGGGTCTGTATGCGGAAGACCTTAGATCCTGGGCCAGGCCTAGCGTCGTCGGTGTCGCTTTCTGGGTCGGTCATGTTGGGTGTGGTCTCAGGTTCATGGGGAGCATCAAAGATGTCGGCGATCTGTCTGGCCTTCGCGATGTATTTGCGGTCTTGGTCTGGAAGGAAATTGCATTCGCTCAAGAAATGGTTGTCGGGGCGACCTGCCTGTTTGCAAAGGGGACAGGACTTAGTGGGGCGGCTAGGTCGTGTAGTCGCCTTATACGGGGTTTTGACGCCGAGAGGTCTGCGGTAGTTAGTGACAGCGGTGCGCATGATCTTGGCATCATCAGCGGTGCGTATTTCGTCGAGCAGGGAAGTAAGGGCCTGAGATATCTCTGGCTTTATGGAGGCCAGAGTCCGTGATCGTAGCTCAGTTCCATATCGCTGTTTCACTAACTTAGGTAGCTCGGGG